TCATCGTACTTGGGACACTTGATCTTACCACCGTCTTCGAACGCAGAGGATTCAACAACGATTGTACCGTTTTCAGGGCATTCGTACCAATCGTTTTCGCCTTCCTTGCCTTTGTACTGCACCTTCACTGTTCGCTTCTCATAGTCACACAACACCCGTGCACATACACCATTAACGTCCGAAACCTTATTATCAGGCCCGTTAACTTTCAGTTCTTCAGCATCCAGACACCATGAATCAGGTCCTATAATTGATCCAGGGAGTGCGTCACTGTAAATACCAGTACAATAAGAATACGTCCATGATTTTCTCATAGAAATAATGTACTTCTCAGTTACTTCACAGTTATCCTCAAAAAATTCGTTCAAACGTGAAGGCGGATTGCACTTACCGTACGCAGTGCGGTCCGACGTGCATCCAGAAATCGTTTCATTACAGAAATATTGAGGATACCGTACTTTATTATTCTCCATGCACTTTTCCTGAAGAAAGTCACATCCACTCTGATTCCCCCAGCTCATTTGTTCCTCCATTCCCCAGTTTGCCTTGTAGTACTGCAGATCCTCAAACAATGCCATTGTGAGTGTTGTGTAGTAGCCGGCACTCGACGATCGCGCAGAGCTCATCAACTCATCCTTTGCGTTTCGTGCATCCCAATAAGAGAACACCTCGCCATTCACAAACTTCAGTTCCATTCCCTTCAAATTAGAACAATTGTAGTGTTTTTGTGCTTTTTCAACTGTCTTTGAGGAAATTACCACCTTACGTTTCGCGCCACGGAGCTCCACAGTGGACAGCATACCCTTTTCCTTCATCCGTTTGTGATCAAAACCCAGTGCGTGTGCAATCTCTTGTGCAATACGGCGAACATTAAACCGAATGCCATCCTGTAATTGGGGAACGTAATTCACTGCTCCAACGATTGGACGACCCGATGAATTTTCCACGGCACAAGTAACACCAAACCTCCCACCGTGCCCAGCTGCCACGTAGAGCACAAAGTCAGCATTCTCAACACCCTCAGTGCGGTGCTTTTCAGGTACAGTGAAATGTTTGCAATAACTGTCATCTGCAAACTTGGGAACCCTCAACTTTCCACTCACAGGGCGAACAAGCAGACGATCACTGTGCAGTTGGATAGCAGTCGGAATGATATCCTCCATGAATTTCTTTATAGTATCCACAACGACAACATCTATACGACTACAGTAATGTGTTGTACCATCATACTTCTTGATTTCCTTCTCAGCCTCAGTACAGTACTTTGATGCGTCTTCCAAGTCCTTCGTGAACACCTCAATGCGGATCAGCTCCCATCCTTCATTCTTCTCAGTGGAGACGGTGTACGCCTGCACACCACTCTGTCCCTTGCGGGGCAACTCCCG